TAAGACAGCTACAAAAGGTTATATAAAAATAGCAGATGCTGAGAGAAATTGAGTTATCCTGGAGAGAGGAAAAGGCAAATTTCCTCATGTGGTGTGAAGATGAGAGGCATTTTTGTAGGGTGGTGACGAGCAACCTTGGTCCCATGATGGCTTGTCAGGACAGGCAGAGCACAGTGAATCTACGTCTTGTTTTGATAAATAATTTGGACCAGTTATGCATTGGGCTGGCAATGGAGTGGCCTCTGGAGTAGGTTTCAGCTGGGTTGAAATGGAGAGGTAACATCTTGAGTAACACTCCAACTGACCCAGAGTGTCACTGTTTCCATCTCTGTTGAGTTCTCTTTAGGGATAAAGCTGAATATGGGGGGGGTTTGTCCCACCATCAGTTCCCACTTTATTTTACTGGTAGTACATATTCTCACTGTGTTTGTACCAGGGTTGTGTTAAGTTTTCAACCACCTGATGTCATTAATATTTTGGAGTTTTCCTTTTGTTTGGTGCACTGCAATGCCCTCTGTTCCACATCTGCCTACACTTCTCCTCTGCGCTTTGCAGGCTGCCTGTTTCGCTTATGTGATAAAAAGGCACATTATTTGTGCTCCTATACTTGTGGCCTCTAGAAGAAGGCTTGGTTCGTTCCAGGCTCTTTGTGTACTTTGATGTGCATTTTAAATACTTAGCTTTACTCACTGTGACATTAATACAAACACAGCTGGCCTAGCACTGCTATTGTAAGAAGAATTTGATAGGGAAGTAGCTTGAACATAAAGCTGTGACAAGTCTTTTAAAATGTAAGAGAACAAAGAAATAAGGTTCTTGGATAAATACTTCAGAAAATATGCTCTACCCCTGTATAGGGCTGCTTGTGTCCCTGCCATATGGGAGCAGTTGCCTGTCTCACCCACACTCCTGAAAGTTCTCAGCTGTTACGTCTGAGTTCAGTGATTATTTTAATTTATAGTGCTTGGCTTAATGTATCTTAAAACACATGTATTTTAACTAGAAACTCCCCGGGGACCTCATTCAGAACTAATTGCTCGCTGTTTGTGCGATTCTTCAAATCTGTAAAATGCTCTGTGAGGGCTTGGAATTACTCAGCTCCGTGGTGTTTGGAGTTAAAGATGGGTCGGGGTGTCTGGCCGAAGTGTGAACACGGACTCGGGGTGGATGGGTGCATTTCTGGCTCTGCAGAAGCTGTATGATTTTGGGTGGGTTAGCCAAGCTGGCCTACAGCTTGGATTGCCTGTACGGGAGGGATAATGATTTTATTTTTAATTGGGCTAAAAAGGATCATTGAAAGACTGACTGCAGAAGTACTTGGAAACTGCAAAGGAAATTTATTATCAGAACCATTATTATTAGTACGTTATTGAGAGAGGATTTAACTCAGATTATGTTTTCCCCTGTAATGGGCTGGGGAGAGATGAGCGGATTTCTAAAATAGCTCTGGAAAAGTCTTTTTTCCATCGTTTTGAGCACATTCCATCTGCTGTGAGCACATTCCTGCTTTACTTCCTAAACAAATTTCGCTTCTGTTTCTATTCTAAAGTTCTTTTTACCATGATCTTACTTCCAATTACTGCTGCTAGGAGGGGTGCTGGGTGTGTTGCCCACATTTACCTTTCAGATGCTGCAGCTAATTGACCAGGAGGCAGTGGCAGTCCCAGCACTGTTCCGCTGAGTGCTCATCTGCCTAAATCCCTCTTGCAGCCCTTCAGTTACATCCCAGCCCTGGTGATTATTCGTACTTTCCCCTCTCCTCCTCTTGTACTAAATGAGAGAGCTGCTGAATTCATGGGGTCGCATACATTTAAGGCTGGGATTGCATTTTAAAATAGCTGTTGCAAGTTGGCAGGCTGGGGACACTTCTCTTACCCACTTCATTCAGTCCATCATGTTTCCAGCTTTATATTACGCAGTACATGGAGGACACACTGCTTGGGGGAGAAAGCTCTGCTGGGGATAGCAAATGTATTCTGCAATCTGACTTGAAAGCAGCTTCCTCCATTCTGCATTTATAGCTGGAGAAGAGGGCAAGATTCACTCGTGAAGTAATTGTGTCATTGATTCCCTTTCTGAATAGCTTTGACACTACCCCCTCCATCCCCACCAGCTCTCTCTTCTGAAGATCTCACAGTCATAAGTGTCATGAAAGGCTGTGCTTGAGAATGTCACATTTCTCTTGGGCTCCCTCCAGCCCTAAAGAAGAGATCATCATGAATAAATGGTCACCTCCTTTGTGGTACAGACTGTGAATACAGGTGGTAAATTTAACGTACATCAGACTTCATTTTTTCAATCCATTCTGTGCATTGTTGCAGCTCCCTAGGAGATGGAAGCACAGCACTTCTCTGTAGTTTGTGTGGGGAAAGGAGGTGTAAGGAAATGAAGCAATCCACCCAAGCTTGTCATTGAAGCCTGGCACATAGCAGGCAGTACACCCAACGCCTGGGCTCTCACATTGGCCATTCACCATCTCTGCTTCAATTCCTGTCAGCTCCCAGTGGGTTTTCCCATTCTTTTCCATGCTCTGAGTCAGCAACTCTCACAGCAGTTTTGTGCCTGAGGATTTGGGGGCTGACTAAAAGATATGAATCACTTATCAGAAGAATAGTAGGCTCCGACCTTCTATACGTAGGCTGCTCGATTTGAATTTCTTGACTTTTTCCTAAGCGAGAATCTGAATTCACTTTTTTCCTTCTTTCAATCTTTCTGGCTGTACTGATATCCAAAAATGCAAAATGACATCTTGTCTCAGCCCGCCAGAGCAGACGCACTGCAAAGGATTAGACTGGAAATTTTCCTAAAATGCAGCATTTGGAGATGTTTTTGGAAAACAGAGCAAGGAAGCAGTGGATGTGATGTTCACTTGATGCTAACCCAGCAAGACAGTAGATGGATAGGCAGTGAGTGAAGGCTGCGAGCGCAATCAGTGAGCCCCTCGTATGGAACAGTGCCCTGAAGGGTGAGCCCAGAAGTGAGCAGGACATCGGGAGAGCCTCAGCTGCTGCCTGGATGGGCTGCATTCAGGCCCAGGAGAGGAAGGATGGAGCTGTGCAAAGGTCCCATGTGGCCGCGTCCTGCTGGGATGTTGAGACCCACCAGGCTCAGAGTGGAGCAGAAGACAGAGCATGCTGTGGGGTGAAGATATCCATAGTGCAGGAGCTGCGTGGGAGGGCATAACAGGCTTCTGGCAGAAGGGAAGAGGCTGATGAATCCTGAAATCGTGGTGTAATCCAGCAGTCTTGGCCCCATGCATCTCCTGCCCTTCAATGAAACTTTTATTCACCAGGGCCTTGACTTAGGTGGAAAGCTGGGTTAGAGTTTTCCAAGCTTGTTGTCAAGAAAAAATTGGTAAAGTGAGGGGACAGTGGGGAGGTGAATTTGTTGAAAGTATATAATTTTGGCTGGGAAAGAGAAAATTAAAATAGCATCCTTATTTATTTTCTTTTCCCCCCCTGAAGTGTGGTTGACTAAGTCTAAAGAAAAAAAGATTGGCTCCATTGCTGAAGGCTTGGTTCTCTCTCTCTCATGTAAACTACAAGCCTGTCTGAAATGAAGCCATGTAGGTGTTTTGCAGGAATGATTCGGTCCAGTGTAATTACTACAAAATAAATGAATGTTCCTATGGAAAAAAAAGAAGAGGAAACGATACGGAAAGGGCACATTAGCTTTGAGGCATGTTGTCTGGAGATATGAATGTCTGCAGAGAAACATGAAGGAAACAATTAGAAAAATATCAAATGAAATTCCCTCCCTACGGGAAACATTTTTCATCAGAGTGGTTATGCCAGCCATGGGTTTGGTCCATCACGTCAGGAAAGCCTTCCAGGGAGAAACATGGACATCATAAAAGCAGGACAAATTAATTCCTTCTCAGAGGAAAAGACCACCCACTGAGTCTTGAAGTTAGTTTGATCCCAGACCACGAACTCAGCTAAAACTTAAAGGAGATTCTTAATAGAGTAGAATGAGGGCCGGCTGGCCACGAGGCATTGGGGCCAATCCATCACAACTCACTGTTAAGTAACGCTTCAAGTCACAGCAGTTGCTGTTTAATTCCACCATACAACTAAGAGGTCCCTCTTGGCCTTGCTTTTAATTAATTAAGTCACAGTAGTGGCGAACGCGGCGCTATAGCAGTTGCTTTCAGCCTAATTGTTCTCCAGGCATATTTGCAGCACTCCTGTCGAAATCCCAGGCTTGTTTCTGGAGTCAAGCTGCACAAATGAAGTTCCTGCTATTAAAAGCAGTTTGTTTCCTATTCCTTAGCAATCTGTTCCTAATGCAGAGCCCCGCTGGAGCATGGACTTTTTTTTGTTTAAGCAAATGGCAAAAAAAGGTGATGTTTACCAAGTAGTGCATGCTTTTAGTGCTACCTGTGCTTGGGAAGTGAAGGTTTTTCATGTCGACATATTTCCATCAGCAGGTTTTGCATGCCCCACATGACAGATCCCAGTGCAATGGCATCATTATTTCCAGCCTGTGTCCAGGGTTTATCCTAACATATTCCTTCTCTTCTCTTCCATGTTACGGTCTTTGAGCAGTGAAGCACATCTTTTCCATGCAAATCTCCCTAATATTAAGAGCCACCTCACTCCCAAAGGTTTGCAGGCAGGTGGATCTACTTTATATCACAGTGCTCTGAACCTCCATCTCAGACTGCAGGACAGACACAACAAATTAAATCAACTTATGCTTAGTCACATCTGTTTCATTTATATCAAACTGGTGCCACTGAAGCAGAAAGCATTCTTATTCTTTCCACATTGTTCCAGCTGAAAATTAACCACCTTTGCACATAATGAAACTCATACTTCATCTGTTTAAAATAATTGGACCCGTTTTATATTTTTGAAGCAGGCTGACTTACAGTTGCAATGTATCAGTCTATTACTAATGCAAGAGGGAGTATTTCCTCTTTCATCTTCTGTGTTCACCTCTCTGGATTTATTTGTATGGGGTCTGTAACTAAGGAGATCTCTGTTGTTCTCCAACAGAATTAAGACTGCCCCAGGTGTGAAGATCTTGGACGTCAGAGTCAGCGATGCGGACCAGTGGGGAGTTCAAGAGGAGACTGATAGCGCCAGGACCACTGCCACGATCACCTGCATGCACAATGACCCAGACCCAGAAAGCAGGTAAGCTCCTCTGTGCATTAACTCTTGCTGAAATGCTGATGAAAACTTTTTTGATGAGTAGTATTGCTCTTTTAACAGCAGCGTTTGCTCCTTCTCGTCTGTGTTGGAAGAACTGTAAGTGCTGTGATTAGAGCTTTGTCCCTTTCGTTTTGCTTCTGAGCTTGAGAAGTAGATGACTGAGTGTAACTAGAGGCAGCCAACTCGTCCTGGCTCACATTGGCTTTTCTTGCACCTTAAGGGCAGCAAAAATCCCGTTTCCAAAGAGCCAACAAAAATAAATGGATTAGAATAGAGAAATATGGAGAATAATTGAGAAATAATGGAAATAGGACAATGCTGTCTCTTTTATTTGAAAAGCTGTAGAAGTAATAGCTATTAAGTGTTTTTTATTAATGCTGCAGAACACCTGAGTATCTATGAACTGCCTTGTGAAAGCCGGGTGCATTTGTTATGGTAATGCTCCCGCCAGCTATATCAAACATAATGAGAAATTTATATTGTTAGTCAGAATTACGTATTTGACAATACAAGCAATTTCTCTTCATTACCATGCAGTTACTGTACATTTAGAGTACACCGTGCATACATTTAGCATTAAATTGCATCGTAATTAGAAAAGCGCGAAACTTTATGTCAAAACTTTGATTTGAGGAGCCTTCTGCACCCATTCTTCCTGAAAGCTCTTTGTTTAGAGCTAGGAAGATTATTGCCAAAGGTTTGGCATGCAAAGTGTATTTCTGCTCTTTTGAACTTCTGGAGCTGGATTTGGGGAGCAAGGGACCCCCACCTAGTTCTGGGTACCTGCAGTATGAGTGCTGAGGTGGGAGCTATTTACATTGGGTTTGCTTTTTGGTGACAAAAAGGAACACTGCTGGGTGTGTAAAACAGGCCTAGTGCATGGCAAACTGAAAGCTCCTCTTCAGTAAGGATGGAGAGTGGAGGTGACTGAATGGGATATGGGCATTTGCTTTGCAAGCACACAAAACGAGGGGAGGCAGTTCCTCTGCATTTAATCTCTGAAATGATGCAGAGCTTTCTGGTGTTAAAAGTCACAGAAACACTTCAGTTCGTTACCTGCTTCGTGGCCTTCCTGCCCACTGAAAAACAAACAAAAAAAACGTCAGCAGTAAAAATTTCCCTCTTGTTTCCATTCTTCGAAGTTACAAGTCTGAATTTGTGATGTTGGAAATTGTGGCTGCCTCTCTTTTTTTTTTTTTTTTTTTTGCTGGCATTCCATGATCTCCTGCAGTGGTGAAGCAGGGCTGTGGCAGCTGGGATAAGCTTTGTCACCAAAATCCTTTGTCTTTCAACTACATTTCCCCAGTCTTCACCACCAGCGGGTCCTTGCTGGTATTGGGAAAGCTCATCCAGGAATGGTGGCTCTGGGGTCGGGGTGCAGTGCTGGTGCTGAAATGCTGAGGCAATAGGAAGACTGAAGATGGTTTGGTGTAACAGAGAGGACTGTCTATCTAATGCAACTGTTTTTTTTTTTTTTTTTTTAAAGTTTAAAAAGAACAGGCAAGGTACTGAAACTTACTGCCTTGTATGTGGTTTCACTAATCCGTGGAATTATACCTGTCACAGTAACTTACTTTTTATTAAAACTGATTTTTGCTTTGTATTGAACTGTTAAATTGCACAAAAGCAAGGAACCTCGAGTTAATTAATACTTTGACCCTTTCCTTTGTGAGATTAGTTTTAATATTTTTGGATTAATTAAAGTATGCAAATGGAAACTGCTGAAAGATCGCTTCCAGATTTGCAAATACTGTAGTGCTTAGAGTAAATATTTAGCTTTGATCCTTACTTTAATTTGCCTTTTTGGTCATAGCGGTGGCCCTCTTGTTTCTTTTGAAGAATGTTAAGTGCTTCGTAGGGATTCTGATGCTTTGTGTAAACAAGCGGAGGCTTGAACTTGCTGCTGCTAAGGTCAGTGTGGCAAAACTGCCTTTGAGTAACTTGGGGAGCTTCTTAAAGGCAGTTTATACGTGAGTGGAGGATTGGTGAAAATGAGAACCATCCTGCCATGTCTCTGCTGCACTGCTGAAATCTGTCTGTCCGCTGCCTCTCCACTGCTCTGCACTCGGGCTGCTCCGTCCTCCCCAGTGCATGACCCCAGCAAGAGCCTGCAGCATTGCCTGCTGCAAGGAGAACTGCACTGCTGGGCTGCGACGTGGTGGTAATCCCTTCTCCATTCCCTTCAGCCGCTGTTATCGGTGGGAGCCTTTTCAAATTTGCTTACTTTCCTAATCTTCTCCTTCTCCCCTCCGCAATGTTATTGTTATCATGAGGTTTTCATCTCCGTCTCTCACATTTCCCTACGCAAATTGAGCGTTCATTAAAATGGTTTAAATTAAGACCTTTCCTCCTTTCATGCGGAGTGCATCATGCCTTTTCTGTGCATTACTTTAAAAAAAAAAATCCTTATCACAATGTTTCAGGCAGTTTACATTATATTCTATTAAAAATCCATTTTGTCCAAGCTTGTCACAATTCGCAGATTAAAGCTTTGCAGAGTGTGTTTTGTTAGCAATACATTCATAAATTCACCTCTTTAGTCGTCCCAAAAGCTTGTATTTAAAACCTCTTTTGATAACGCAGTTGAACAAAGAGTATAAAAAGATTTATTTTAAATATACACAAGTATATTGCACGCACCTATTCTGCTCTGTGCAGAGCCTTGCTTTGCCCTTACTGCTGTCATCTCCAAGGAGCTTTTTGGGAGCTCATTGAGCAAGGAGATGGGTTGTCATCATGCGTGCTTATTCTCTGCTTGGGGCAGAACTCCATGAATCTCACTGTGGGAGACTTAGTTGGATCAGAAGTTTGCTGCTTCAGAAAGACACAGTTTCTACTTCAAGCACAAACGCTCCTGTATGATGCCTGCAGCTGGGACCCGGTGCTTCTCTTCCATAGGAAAGGATCTTAATGGATTTCTGTGCTGAGTGCAGAGTGCATTTTGCAAGGAGCAGAGGAAGTCAGGGCTGGCAGAATCAGGTGCTCCCAGCTGTCCATGCAGAACAGCTGTGTGTGTGAAGGACTGGCATCTTACCCTTGGTGTAGGGTGACGTGTTGAATTATTGCAATAAAATGTTCAGTTATTGCAAGCTGCTGTGCCCCATAACTTTGCACTAATATCCAGAGGAATGGTATAGCAGGAACTTTGCCAATGATCCTGCATGTTACAGGATTGGGTTATTTCAGACCGCTGGCGTTCTCATTTGAAAGGCCCCCAAAAGCAATATGTTTCATGCTGCTGGGTTTCTACTTTGCTGGAAAGCTGAAGGACAGCACCTTGATGTGACCTGACCTTTGGTTCACGAAGAACGAGGTGGTCTGAAGAACAGACTCAGAAGTTGAGGCTGGGAAGTGGCGACTCTGCTTTGCAAGGGAGTATAAGAGGCATCGTTCTCCTCACTCAGGATAACTGTCATTACATTTTATTGGATTATTAGCTGAGGGGGGAATCTAATCCCATGACAAAGTAGTACTTTAATCAGAAAGGTTGTATTTATGCTAACTGGCGAAGTTACTGAAATTGATTTTACCTGCAGGCTGAGCATAAAGTGACCAAACCTGTTTTTCTCACTCAGGGATTATTTTATCTCCATGTCAATAATGCAGCTTCCATCTCTCAGAATATCCATCACTGCATAAATTAAACTTGCATGAGGGACGCTCAGAAGGTAGAAGTAGGGAAGCTGGAATCTTCAGAGGTTTCTTTAAGTTTCTGTCAGAACTATTTGTTCTGTTGCATGGACATTTTATATCTTTTTTTTAATTGATGCAGACCAACTCAGCTGTTCAGCATTTGACATTATCTATCTTTAAACTTGAATAAAGATTAATATTCTGTAATGATATTCCATTTCTTTGCCATTTTAAAAGGTGTTCAAAGAATTCAAATAATTTAAATGACTAAAAAATTATAACCATAGTGTGTGCATATACATATGTATCTTTAAATCAGGGAAAGCACTTATTTCATGTATTTATAGGTATGCAAATAGAGCCTGCTGTTTTGAAATAATTCACTTCTTTTTTTTTTGCACTTGGGAATGCCCTTTGAACCTGAAATCTCACTTAGGAGAAAAAAAAAAAGAAAAGAAGATGTGAAATTGGCTGTCGGTTAAGATATGGGCACGTATTTATTTAAAGTAAATCTGTGTTACTGGAGCTGATGAACTGAGCAAAAATGTTGTATCATTTGGTTTTGTTGTTAAAGCTTGGCCCTGGTCTGAGGTAGGGGAGGCAGAAGGAATGTGAGCTCCTGTCCTTCGGCACTGCATCCATCACGGCAGCCTTGGGTCTTTGGGAAGGAAGGTTTTGCTTGAAAAGGAAAAGAGAAGCAGAAGTCATCGACTGTGTGGTGCAGTGTACTGCCTTGGGTGTTCTCTCCTATTCTTATGCAGTTGCTGCTTTGCTTAGGTCAGAAGTGTCATGGGCAAAGAAATGTGCTTTGAATGTGGAGTGAGTGTGGCCTGTAGATCCTGTAGGAGTTCATTGTCTGGCCTTGGCCAGACCCCAAGACAGTACTGTCTCTTGAGCCATTGATGAAGAGAATTTTATCTTTAACGTACCAGTTTTAAGGTTGTGACCTCTATTATGAGTGATGGAGTCTGCTCTGCTTTGTGTAAAGAGTGTTCCGCTGAGAAGCATCCACACACATTTTCAAACATAAATGACTCAATAGTGTCACACAGAAAACCCGATAAGAAGAATTTTAACTAACCTTTATTCTTTACATGTATGCCTTTTTGTAGGAAAGAATCCAAGCAGACTTGGAAATGTTTCTATGAGATAAAAGCACTGACACCTCGCAGTAGCTTAAAGAGGACATAAAAAATAATAGACAATTAACAGCAGTGGGAAGGACCGCTTAGTGCAGAAAGCTGCGGTTTTAGGATCAAATGGAAATGTATCATTTCAGAAGGATATTTTCTTTTTTTTTTTTTTCTTCTTCTTTTCGTTCAAGGCTAAGAACAATGAAATTGTCTGTCCATCTCCTGTTGGGAGCCTAATAGCCTGATAACCACATGATACCTCTCCTGGCCAGCCAGCTTTTTCAGATGGCTGTTTCTTCCTCTATCTTAGTTAAACTCACTGCTGCTCTGGTAAAGTCCCCAGAAGAGATGGGTCAGAGGGATTACTTACTGCTAGTCTGGATAATTGCTTCTTTACTGTGGTTCATGCATCCAAGAAAGTAGTGGCTCTTCTTAAGGCATCCGTGCTGTGCTGGTACAGTACTTTTATTATGGCCCAAGGAAATATTTTTGAACAAATGCATCTTTGATAACTGGAAAAACCTGTTGAGCAGTACAGCAAGGGATTTTGACAGTTGTCTGGAAAATCTGGAGAATGGGAAACTTCTTTTTGGAAGAACTCAACAGTAAGCACCTGTATTCAGTGGTTTAAGATGATGTAGCACAGGGGCTTGAAAATGACTTGGAAAACGAACATCTGTTAACATCTGACATAAGGAATATCTAAGTTAGATCATCAGGCCTTGCTCACCTCTAGGAGTGATCCTGGGATCAGAAGAGCTGATTCTGATTTCTGACAACTCGATAGGTCACAGCTGTGTCTGAGGCTTATGGCTTTTTTGAAGTCTGTTTCCTGGTCCTAGAAGCGGTTTGAGACAAACATTGAGCTTTTAATTTTGGCCCTCTCAACTTTGATCTCCATTCATCTATATTGGCAGTTCAGAAGGTGTAAACCAAGGGAAGCCATTTCTTAATACGTGTCTTTGATTATGTATATTATCTGGGTTAAATAGCAAAAAAATATATGTGCAACTCAATGATACTTTGGTCTTCTCAATTCAATAACAAATATACCAAGTGGCTTCAATAGCCTCTTTACCAACGTGTTCCACAAAACCTGATTCAATGCATGTTTTGAGTGATATTTCTTCTGAAAGATGAGCCTAATCATTCTGAAATGAGTCTTGTTTTTGAATTTGACCTAATTAACTTCATTTTGGGTATATCATTCCTAGATGCGAATCTTAATGTAACAGTTGGGAAAGTTTAATTTCAGGGTAGGATAGTCTGCATAATTAGGGCTGTGAGAATATAGCAGGGAGGCTGGGAACAAATATCAAATGCATGCTGATGAGTGAATGACTTCAAATTGTTATTCATCCATTGGTGCTTGCATGGCTTTTCCATATTAGTTGCCAAAGGGAGTATGACATACTCAAGAGTCAGTGGGCTTCTCTGAGGCTCTGCCAGTCTGTTGTCTGTTTTCATGGTTGTTTGAATTACTGCATGTGAGCTACCACAGAAGGTCCATCCTTGCTGATAGGAAAGTTCCAGTGAGCTTAGTGGAGATTTCAGAGGGATGGAGAACATGTGGTCAAAACCGTTCTGCCACAAATGTGACCTGATTCTTCTGTAAATATTGTACTTTTATCACTTCCCAGTAATAAAACCTGTTCTTCTGGCAAACTTAAGTCTAGATTCAGAAGAGTGCCACTTAAGTAACTGCTTGCTCTGAAGTACCTGACTTGGTTCTGTTGATGCCTGCTATAATGCTAAAGGAGGTACTTGGAGTCAGCAATTAGGGAGAGCTTTGTGTGGAAAATACAGGTCTTGATGGTAAGACACACTATGTATAATAAGAAGCATTAGTGTGTCACACCTGAAAATATTGTTGAAATTGGAAATTGAACCCTTCCGTAGCACAGAAATGTTCCTGAGTATATTGGAAATGTTAGTAAGGCATTTATTTTTGGCAACTGTACACTGAGATTTGAGAGCCATAATTGGATTGTTCCTTGATATAATAGGACTGGAAAAGATTACTGAATGTGTATGAAATCAGAGAGCTGGTATGTGTGGCATCTTTAATTCGCACCTTTACAGGCTTACGAGCTTGACTTGTAGC